CATACACACAATGGAATATTACTCTGCCATTAAAAGGAACACCTTCAAAAAAAAAAAAGGAACACCTTCGAGTCAGTTCTAAGGTGGTGGATGAACCTGGAACCTATTATACAGAATGAAGTAAGTCAGAAAGAGAAAGAAAAATACTGTATTCTAATGCATATATATGGGATCTAGAAAAATGGTACTGAAGAACTTATTTACAGGGCAGCAATGGAGAAATAGAGAACAGACTTATGGACATGGGGAGAGGGGAGGAGAGGGTAAGATGTAGGAAAGAGTGACATGGAAACTTACATCACCATCTGTAAAATAGCCAACAGGAATTTGCTGTATGGCTCAGGAAGTCAAACGGGGGCCCTGTATCAACCTAGGGGGTGGGGTGGGGAGGGAGATGGGAGGCAGGTTCAGAAGGGAGGGGATATGTGTGTACCTATGGCTGATTTATGGTGAGGTTTGACAGAAAACACCAAAATTCTGAAAAGCAATTATCCTTCAATAAAAAATTAATTAAAATAGAAAGTAGAAAGGACATAGCAGACCTGAAAAGCGTCATGAACCAATTCAACATAATTAAGATTTATACAATTTTCACACAGCAGTAGGATACAAATGCTATTCACCTTCCTATAGACTTTATTTTATTTTTTTTTTATTCACCTTCCTATAGACTTTAAATCTGGGGACACTGGAACATATCCAAGGACATAAAACAAGGTGCAAAAATTTCATAATCTAAAGGTATTGAAATCATACAGACTGTGTTCTGTCATCACTATGGAATTATGATAGAAATTAATATCAAAATATATTTGAAAATAATGCACATATTTTCAAGTGCAATGTGACATTTACCAAGAGAGATCTTTGACTTAGCCATTGAAAGCCTCAAAGTTACAAGACTGAAAAACACAGAGGGTGATTGCAGAGAAGAAGGCATTTAAATGAGAAATTAATATCAAAGTGAGAAATTAATATCAAAGATACTTTAAAAACCCATGTATTTGGAAATTAAATGTCCACATTTAAATGATGGGCATATCTAAGAAGGCATAACAAGGAAAATTAGGAAATATTCTTAAATTTTAACCGAAATATAGAAAATCTAAAATTCAGTTCTCACTCATGATAGCCACCTTTCAAGGGTTTGACGGCTAGAGGGACTCATGGCCACTGCTTTGGGCAGTGCAGAGAAAGACCATTTCCACTGTCACAGAAAGGTCTGCTGGACAGTCTGTTACAGACAGACATGTGACAATTCAAGATCTTTACTATGATATGGTGTGTGATTTTTTTTTTAACTTTTTTTTTACTTTTAACACCCATTTATGTAAGACAAAAACCCCATTCTACTGAAGTGGGGGAAAAAAGATCACGAGTTTGCACATGGTTTCCTGTAAGTGTTTGCTCCACAGAAAGGGATTGTCTTAAGCTTTGCCTTTTAATCTTATTCACGAGTATATCAGTCAGGGTTCTCCAAAGAAAACAGAACCAGTAGGCTATTCATGGATACAGAAGAGATTTATTATGGGAATTGGCTCACGCAATTATGGAGGCTGAGGAACTTCCCTGGTGGTCCAGTGGCTAAGACACTGCATTCCCAATGCAGGGGTCCCCGGTTCAATCCCTGGTCAGGGAACTAGATCCCACATGCTGTAACTAAAAGACCCTACATGCTGCAACTGAGATCGAAGAGGCTGTGTGCCTCAACTAAGACCTGGGGCAGCCAATAAATAAATTTAAAAATACCCCCCCACTAGAAAAATGATGGAGGCTGAGATGTGTTATGATATGCCATCCATAAAACTTCAATACTTTGGCCACCTGATATGAAGAGCTGACTCATTGGGAAAGACCCTGATGCTGGGAAAGATTGAAGGCAGGAGGAGAAGGGGACGACAGAGGATGAGATGTTTGGATGGCATCACCGACTCAGTGGACATGAGTTTGAGCAAGCTCCCGGAGTTAGTAATGGACAGGGAGGCCTGGTGTGCTGCTGTCCATAGGGTCCCAGTGAATCAGACACAACTTAGCAACTGAACACCAACCACGTGCCATCCATGAGCTGGGGAACTGGGACAGTGGGTGGCTTAACACTCTTGGACCAGAAGTTGAAGCTCTGATGTCGAAAGAAAGGCAGGACACGATGGATGTTTCAGCTCAAGAAGGGGACAGAAAAGCCTTCCTCTGTCCTTTTCTTTTCCTGTCTGGACCCTCAGTGGACTGGGTGATGCCAGCCCAGTTTCAGCCCATCTTTACTCAGTCTACTGATTCACATGCTAATCCCTTCCAGAAACACCCTCAGAGATACACCCAGAAATAATGTCTCACCGGCTCGCTGGGCAGGCGTCCCTGGGCCCAGTCAAGCTGACCCACAGTTGACCTTCACAACAAGACTGTCCTCATTCTCTCTGAATGAAGCACATGGAAGTTGGATAAGCACCATGCCTGTAAGGCCTTCCGGGACAGAGACTTGCATTACCTCTTTGTCTTTATTTTCTATGATTTTGAATATTTTATTTTTTAATTTTAAAAGCAAATTTATTTTTTAATTGAAGGAAAATTGCTTTACAATATTCGGTTGGTTTTTGCCATACAGCAGCGCAGATTGACTGTAATTATGCATATATCCCTCCCTCTTGAACCTCCTTCCCCTCCCCCTTACCACCCCTCTAGGTCATCACAGAGCTCCAGGCTTGGCTCCCTGTGTTGTTGTGGGGTTTTTTTAATTGTTATTTTTTTTAACAATTTTTTTTGTTTCCAAATTGAAGTATAGTTGATTTCCAGTGTTGTGTTGGTTTCTGGTATACAGCATTGATTAAATTATATATATATATATATATATATATATATATATATAATTTATGTGTTACTATATCTAGCGGCTTCCCAGGTAGCTTGGTGGGCGAAGAATCTGCTTGCAATGAAGGAGATGCAGGCAGGTGTGGGTTTGATCAGATGGCATTTCCCAGATGGCGCTAGTGGTAAAGAACTATCTGCCAGTGCAGGAGATGTAAGAGACTTGGTTCGATCCCTGGGTCAGGAAGAATCCCTGGAGGAGGGCGTGGAACCCACTTCAGTATTCTTGCTTGGAAGATCCCATGGATAGAGGAACCTGGTGGGCAATAATGCAGAGGGTCGCAAAGATTCAGATATGACTGAAGTGACTAAGTTATTTTTCTCTCTCTATATATATATATACATATTATATTTATTTCTCTCTATATAATATATATTCTTTTTCATATTCTTTTCTATTATTATTTATTACAGGATATTGAATATAGGTCCCTGTGCTATACAATAGGATCTTGTTATTTATCTATGTTGTATACAATATGTTGTTTTCATCTGTTAATCCAAGGCTCCTACTATATCCCTTCCTGCCTTTCCCCTTTGGTAACCGTGCATTTGTTTTCTATGTCTGTGAGTCTATTTCTATCTTGTAAATAAATTCATTTGTATCATTTTTTTAGATTCCACATGTAAGCCATGTATCATGATATCTGTCTTTCCGTCTGACTCACCTAGTGTAATAATCTCTAGGCCCATCCGTGTTGCTGCAGGTGGCATTATTCCCTTCTTTCTCGTGGCTGAGTAATGTCCCGTTGTGTATATTCCACACCTTCCTGACCCATTCATCTGGTTAGGCAGCTCCCTTGCCTGGGTTATTGTGAATAGGGCTTCTGTGAACATTGGGGTGCAGGAGTCTTTTCAAATCAGAATAAAACTGTATTTTAGAATGAAGGGCCTACCCCCTGACCTTTTTGTGCTGAATTCTAAGTGTTTTATTGTCCAGTGGCCATGGGTCTTGAAGTCTCTTTCAATCTTGCACCTCTGGAAACGTGTCATCTTGTAGTAGGCTGTCACCCAGCCTGGGTCTGTAGGAGAGGGGCGCGTGCTACAGGTCAGGTTCGTGTTGAAAGCGTGACCTTGGTGCTCGAGTTCACTGGACTCGAGACGATTCCTGGGAACATCCTGTGCCGACCCCCTGCAGAGTCACGTGGGGACTCGGAACATGAGAGCGGACAGCGTGAGGCATGGAGGCAGGTCTCAGAAGCCGTTGCCCCCTAGACCTTGGGCTCCTTCCAGCTCCAGGCTGGACTCGGCCTCCCCCTCATCACCTCTAAAAATAGGATTTGGAAGTTCTCCCCGTGTGACATAATGCATCTCTTGATGATAGGCAGGAAGTGAATGCTTCCCTGCCAGGCCCGCCGGGTCCCCGGGAGGTGGGCTGGGAGGGATATTCCTCTTCTGTTTCACCATAGAACATTTTGGGGCACTTACTCTAAGCCTACTTTCTTCAGTCTGAAAACACGATGTCTCTTCGAATTTACACAGCAAAATAGATGGCCTGGATCCGGGTGATCCTGAATGTTTAGATGTCATGAACAACGTGTGGTCAAGTATGAGTCATCACGCCCTCCATCTGCCTGAACTCTGTCCTGGGCTTGGTGGGACTCATAAAAGCAGTGAGGGCATCTCGGAATGCGCTCAGAGCCTCCAGCGATTAGCGAAGACAACAGAGTTTGGCTCCTTGACCTGATGGGTGATGGAGAACTTGGTGCAACAGACCGGAGCCGGCAGGCCAAGGCTCGAGGTGTGTGATAACAGGGATATTGGTTTTCCGGGATTGGCAGTAAGAAGCCAAGGTCTTCAGCGCCTCACAGCTGCACCTCAGGTTCTAAGGATGAGCAAGACAGGAGTTGTTCTGTCCATCCCTGGATTGGGGAGAAAAGTGACTCTCAGACCAGATTGCCTTTGAGTGCTGAGGAATCTCCCTGGGGCTGGGGAGCATCCCAAAATTGGCTCTCAGACCCCTGCTCACTTCCCAGCCAGTGCTCTGGATGGGGACCGGTGCTTCTAACATAGGAGCCTCCGCTCAGCCCAGCTAACTGGTCCACGGAGGCGTGCTGAACCCCTGCAGGAAGCTGGCCAGGCCTGTGCCAGGAGCTGCAGTTTGCAACAGACGACTTGTTTGAAATGCCATTTCTGGGCTGATGGAGCAGGATGTCTCCTCCCTGTCTTGGGCAAGAGACTGGAGCACCCCTGAGCCCCTTGTCCTTCCAACCCATGAGATCCAGAGCTCCCCAGTCTCTGATGAATCCAACCCTCTGATGCCTTTGCGCTATAAAAGCAGAGAGGCTGACAGTCTGGTCCCGCTCGTGCCCTGGCCTGCACCCCTGTCTCCCAGCAGCCCCCGAGCTCTCATTGCGTCATCCAAGTCCATCCTCCCCTCTGTGGCTGAGGGTCAGTTCCCGCCACCGCCCCGAACACCAGCAGCAGCCTTGCCCTCCTTCCCTCATCCACTTGCCCGAGAAAGACCCTTCTTGTGTGCCCGCTGTTGAGTCAGTGGTGCCCAACTCCTTGTGACCTCATGGACCATAGCCCGCCAGGCTGCTCTGTCCATGGGATTCTCCAGGCAAAAATACTGGAGTGGGTGGCCATGCCCTCCTCCAGGGGATCTTCCCGATCCAGGGATCAAACCTGCGTCTCTTATGTGTCCTGTATCGGCAGGCAGGTTCTTTGTCACTTGTGCCACCTGGGAAACCCAAGACCGTTATCACCGCCTCTCAGTTGTTTAAAACGAACTGTGAAAACAAACAGGGAACAAGAGATGAGAGTCAGGTTTCGCTCTGCTGCTTGAAGTAATTTGTTATAAGTCCTAATGGAAGCAAAACCCCACTTAAGATGACAAATGGGGGGAAGCCACAGTAATTGGATTTGCTATTAAGTGGGTGTATTGCTACCAAATTGGACAGAAAATTACTGGGAACTCTTGGAGTGAGGATGATAGTGTCTCTGATGGTGGGGATGGGGCCTCATCAGCCCTCCCTCTCTCGTCTCTTCCCGCTGGGCTGCAGCCTCCATGTTTTCCCCGAAGTTCCCGGGTCCCCACAGACCATCTGGCCCTCGGGGACACCCAGACCGCCTGGTGGTCGCAGACTGGCACTTTTTTTTTTCCTGCTTCTGACTCTGATTGCTCGAGATTCCCCATTGGATCCCCATCAGATCAGACAGTTGGCCCCCTCCCCGGTCACCACCCCCCCAAACAGGAGTGCTTTGTCGTGTTGAAGATGTTGCTGTGTTTACTGTGGGGGGAAAGGAGAATGCAAGCTGGCAAGGAAGAGAAAATGGGGGTGGGGTGAGGGGAGGGGGAGTTATTGCTTCATGCGGGTGGAGTTTCAGCTAGGGGCGGTGACGCTTCTGCAGATGGCCGTGTGGGTGGCTGTGCAACAAGGCGAAGGGACTCAAAGCCCCTGACCTGGGCGCCTACAGGTGGCAAACGTCATGTTACCTATTTTACCACAATAAAAGCTTAAAAAATCTTTCTTGAATGGAGAAATAGCAGTTTCTGGGATCTTGAGCGATGTAGCTCAATCAAGTGGCGCGTGGCTCCAGGTGTCCATTCTTACGTGGAGTCCTCTCTGCCTGTCTCGACTGCTCTCCCAGCCTCTGTCTCTATTTCTGTCTTTGTCTCTATCTGTCCCTGTCCGTCTCTTACTTTTTTATCCGAGTTGCCTCCAAACCCTCCCCACCCTACGGTTCCCCAGCCACGGACCTTAACCATCTGTTACGGACTGAACTGTGCGTCCCCCAAATTCATGTGTTGAAGCCCAACCCCCAGGGTGGCATTTGGAGGTGGTTCCTTTCAGAGGTAATTAGGTTTAGATGAGGTCATGAAGGTACAACCCCCACGATAGGATCAGTGTCTTTATAAGAGGAGGAAGAGGGACTCCCCTGGTGGTCCTGTGGCTAAGATACCATGTCCCCAGTGCAGGGGCCTGGGTGTGATCCCTGGTCAGGAAACTAGATCCCACATGCCGCAAGTAAAGATCCCACATCCCTTGTGCCACAACTAAGGCTTGCACAGCCAAATGAAAAAGTTTTTTTTAAAGGGGAAGGAACTGGAGTTCACCCCGTCCCCCACCTCTCTCTCTCTCTCTCTCTGACTTGGGAGGACACAGCAAGAAGGTGGACCATCTGTAAGCTGGCCGTCTATGAGCCGGGAAGAGGGCCCTCACCAAAAGACAAGTCTTCTTGACCTTAGACTTCCAGCCTCCATATCTGTGAGAAATAGGTGTCCGTTGTTTAAGCCGCCCAGTCTCTGGTCTTCAGCCGTAGCAGTCCGATACGAGGCGGACACCTATCACCTGTAGGTCTGCAGACCTGGGCCCCCTGTTCTGAGCCCTCTGCCTCTCAGAGGAAAGAGTGCCTGCAAGGATTGTTCCCTGCTTCCTAGAGGGTGTGTCGCAAAAGGGCCCAAACTGTTACCCCCACCTGGTTGCTATAGAGACCCACCGGGAGGTTCCCCATTTTCCCAACCCCCCGGCAACCACTTCTACTTTCTATCTCTATGAGTTTGACTTTTTTTTTAGATTCCACGTATAAGTGATATCATGTTTGTCTTTGTCTTTCTCTCTCTGGCTTTTCACTTAACATCGTGCTCTCAAGGTCCATCTGTGTGTGCTCAATCACTCAATTGTATCCGACCCTCTGTGACCCCACAGACTGTAGCCCACCAGGCTCCTCTGTCCATGGGATTTCCCAGGCAAGAATACCGGAGTGGGTTGCCATTTCCTTCTCCAGGGGAATTTTCCGGACCCAGGGATTTGAACCCGTGTCTCCCGCTCTGGGCGACGGATTCTTTACCACTGAGCCACCTGGGAAGCCCCAAGATCCATCCGTGTTCCTTCCCTCTCACAGCTGAATAATATCCGTTCTTTATGCACCACATCTTCTGAAGCCATTCATCTGTGGATGGACACCTAGGCGGTTTCTCTATCTTGGCCATGGTGAATAATGCTGCTATGAACACGGTGGTGCCAATATCCTTTTTTAAATGTCCTTTGGCTCTATACCCAGAAGTGGGATTGCTGGATCGTTTGGCAGCTCTATTTTTAATTCTTGAGGAATCTCCAAGCTGTTTTTCCTAGCGGCTGCACCGATTTACATTTCCACTAACATCGCACAAAGGTTCCCTTTTCTCCATGTCCTCACCAACGCTTGTTATCTCCTGCCTTTCTGATCATCACCGTCCTAACAGATGTGTGGTGATAGCTCATTGTGGTTTTGATTTGCATTTCCCTGATGCCGAGTGATGCCGAGCCTCTTTATGTATTTGGGGGTCATTTGCATGTCTTCCTTGGAAAAACGTATATTCAGTTCTCGTGCCCAGTTTTAAATCAGATTTTTTTTTTCCACTCTATTGAGTTGTGAGAGTCCTTTGTATCTTTTGGATGTTAAGCCCTTATCAAGTGGCTGATTGCAACTACTCTCCCATTTTGGAGGTTGCTTTTTCATTTCATTTCCCTGGTGGCTCAGATGGTAAAGAATCTGCCTGCAGTGCAGGAGACCTGGGTTCGATCTCTGGGTTAGGAAGAGCCCCTGGAGGAGGGCGTGGCAACCCACTCCAGTATTCTTGCCTGGAGAATCCAATGGACAGAGCAGCCTGGTGGGCTACAGTCCAGGGGGTCGAAAAGAGTCGGACACGACTGAGCGACTTAACACTTTTCATTTCACGGATGCGCTCCCTTGCTGGGCAGGAGCTTTGGAGCTAGCTGAGGCCCACTTGTTTATCTTTGCTTTTGTTCTTTAGTGTCCCTCAACAGCCTTTGATCTTCGCACCAGATCAGACTAAGCTGAGAGCTGGTCAGTCCTCCAGCCTCACTTCTGAAGAATCTGTTGGCTCTGCTTCTTCCACGGGGCCTCGTCCAGGTTTTGTTATTTGTTTAGAGGTTATTTTTAGCTGGCTAGGACCAGTGTTTGAGGTAAGTCGTGTGGGTACTTATGCAGCATTATTTTTTTAAATGATCGTGACTATTTTCAACTGGGTATAAGTTCTTAGGCAGAAACATTTCCTTTTTAAGGCGCCGTTTTTCTGGCAGTTAAGAAGACTAATCTGAAAGATTAGCCAAAATAGCTGCTTGTTAAATCGCTTGAGTCCAGGAAAGACGGGCGCTGCTTCTGTTCAGGGACGCTCGCTGGGCTAAAAAGCAAAGAAGAAAAAACGAGAATTGCTGTGGACATCTATGAGCAGTGAACGCCTTTCTAGAACCAAACTTTCTTTGTTTCTATTTCTTTCTTCCTGTTTAAAAACTAGAAAACTCACCTTCATCAACGATTAAGAGCATAAACTTGGCCCAGAAAACTATCCCCCCAAATTCAAGTTAAAGAAAGTCCATTAAGATTCCCCTCGGTGGTCCTGTGGTTAAGACTCCTCTCTTGCCATGCAGTGGGCACAGGTTCAATTCCTGGTTGGAGAACTAAGATCCCGATGCTGCGGAGCATGTCCAAAAAAAGAGAATCACTGGGAACAGTAAGTGCAGACGGCCAGATCCTATCCTGAGAGCTCGATTCAGAAGAACTGGGGAGGCCCTGGGATCTGCGTGTTTTCATTCACCCCAGGTGGTTTACAGACTGTACTTTCTGAAATGGTGATAAATACAGATGTCCAGAGTCATCCCATAAAAATCCATCAGATGGAAGGATGGGGAACTTCTTTTTGGACACAAGTTGAAAGATATGTTTAAAATAGTTCAATAAAGCTCCAAAGAATTCATCCCCATAAAATATAGCTTAAATGAAAATGGGAGAAATATTTTAAAATTTTTGATGAAAGTAGGTTTTGTTAATCTAGAAGAATTTTATTATCTGTCCCCATATGAGTTTTTTTTAAAAATTTATGTATTTGGCTGCGCTGGGTCTTAGTTGTTGTATGCGAACTCTTACCTGTGACAGGTGGGATCTAGTTCCCTGACCAGGGATCAAATCCAAGCCCCTTGGCATTGGGAACATGGCGTTTTAATCACTGGACTACCTGGGAAGTCCCCCCATGTGAGTTTTTTTTTTTAAACTTTGAACAAGTAATAATTCTAGATTTCACAGGAAGTTTTCAAAATGTACAGGAAGGTGCTCTATACCTTCAACAGTTTTGTCCAATGGTGATATCTCGCATGACTATAGTAATACATTTTTCTATACAGATAGTAACATACATGTAGAAAATAGACATGAGCTATAATAATTGGGAAACTAGCATTGATACAATCTACAGAACCAATTTAGATTTCACTAGTTTTACTTGTGTGTGTGCTTGTGTGTGTGTGTATGTGCCTGTATGCAATTTTATCATACATGTTGATTCGTGTAAACACCATCACGATTAAGACACAGAATTGTTCCATCAGCACAAGGGATCTGCATGATAAGATAACTCTTTCTGCTGTCCTTACTCTTCTTCCTGCCCCGCCGTGGGTGGGCAAGCACTAGTTCTAATCTGTTTTCTGTCACGATGACAGAATCATACAGTAGGTATGATTGGCTTTTTTTAACTCGGCATAATTCT